GGAGGATCATCTTTGATTGGTGCACCAAGATCCATAGCGTCGCATTTCATGTGAATTGTTTTTGTCTTAAGAGTGAGAATACTACATGCCAATTTCACTAGATGAATTCAGCTAAACTGATATGATTTGTATAGTTTCAAACATGGTTGCCATGAAGATAAATATTGAGTTATACAAATAGGGCTTTTTGTTTTCACCTTTTCAGTGATAAAATGTACTGAATACCAGTTGACCACTAAAATACACCTTGACTATTATTTTTTTTTCATGCCGTTTGTCGAGACATTTATGGTTCATTCATTTCGCAAACTGCCGTCTTCAGATATCCTAAGCATATTTTTGCTCTTGTTTTAATGTTGGGGTTTTTGCTGTATTATTTTATCCTATGATGCTTTGAATGACCTTTCTTGACAGGAATGTATTACTCATTTTTCATTACCCTAGAGAAAAACAGCAGGCTAAATTCAGGATGTAGTGGTGCAGTGAGTGAAACTATTCAGTCAGTGCCAAAGCAGCTGTGCTGTTAGATTTCACAGTTACGTTTTCACACATTAAAATATCTACTCTAAAGGGCAAAGAAGTTCGATTTTAGGTGCTATTGGCTGTCAGCTTTGGGGGTTTTATATGTTGCTGTCATTCCTCCTTAATTGTTTTTGCATTTCAGAATAAGTTTTATATACAAGCCAATGGTCTTCAAGAAGATTCAAATGTGCTGCCATGCAGCCTTATGGATTATTGAGCAGTGTTTTACATCTCTGTAAATTAGCCCAATAGAAACTCAAAGCATTGTTCAATTCAGTCCACACACTATGCAATATGTATTAATGCAGTTGGTCTGTTTGATTGAAAATGTGTTTCAGATATACAGCTTTCTCTAGAGAAAGTAAATCCTTCCAGGATCTCGGGCACAATGGGTCTCCAAGGGGCTCAGGAGCGTAAACCTGAAACCATGATCAGACAGCATAATTCCTCACCGCACACATAAGTGTACTTTTGTTTCCAAAAAGTCCTGATAGATACAACCACAGCTTTGTATATATTACATTACCATAGCAATACTATTTGATACAACATACTTAGAGGAATCTATATATAATCTATCTTTAATCTATAATCAATCAAGATGGCGCCGCGAATGGCAGCCACGGCGCTGAGCTCCGCAATTCTTCTGCTGTTTTTGTTTGTTTGTTCTGTTTAGTTATTCTTCTACAAGTTTTATCAGAGACAAACTCCTTAACATTAAGCAAATTTTTCCGGTTTTTGATTATTGAGACATTTTGTTGGACATTCTAGTCAGAGGTGCAGCGGTGCTGTTCAAACACGTGCATAGAAGGGGTCATATGATGTTGCTAAAAAGAACATTATTTTGTGTATTTGGTGTAATGAAATGTGTTTATGCGGTTTAAAGTAAAAAAAAACAAATTTTCCACATACTGTATATTATTTTTTCTCCTCTATGCCCCGCCTTTTTGAAACTCGTCGATTTTTACAAAACTCATCGGTCTGAAAAAGCGAGGTGTGCTCTGATTGGCCTGCTATCCAGTGCATTGTGATTGGCCGAATACCTCAAGCGTGTGACGGAAATGTTACGCCCCTCACATACTGTGATACCGTGTCCGGCCGGAGCGATGAGACAAAAACATTAAAACCCATTACAAATGAGGCATTTGTTGCATCCAGTGGGGACATAATTACTGATTATAATGACTTGTACTGTATTTTTACAGTATAATTTACAGCGGCCTAGCGTGAGCTGAAGCCGGGCAAGAGTGAGCTGAGGCGGCAGGGTCGAGAACGGCAGTCCCGGCAAAGGAGCGGTGAAAACGGTGAAAGCCGATCCGGCGATCCACAGCACTAAGTTGATGTATTCCCTCAGCGACCAGCACGGATCAGTTCTAGGCATGACGAAGCGGATATCGTCCTCTTTTGGAAGACCAAAGAAAGTAGTTTCGCTTTCACAACGAAGCACACAGCGTCTTCAGGACATGGCGGCAGCGGCAACAATACTACAGCGAGAATAAAAGTTACGCCTTCTTTCTTTGTGTGAACATTTGGGTGGCGTTATGCAAATCTTCCCACATAGTGAGGTAGATATGTGGGGGCGTGTTCGAACGAGGCGCTTTAGGTAGGCGTGGCTGACTCTTAACTTTTATAAAGAATATCTCTTTGGATTTGAGACTTTAGTCTTTGCAAATTTACAGATCTTCTTTATGCACCAAGAGTTTGTAACACTCCATAGAGAAAGGAAAAAATGAAATCGCATCATATGACCCCTTTAACAAAACGGAATGAACTACTTCTCCTCACCCACATCAACAAGGGCTCTTGTTTTTTCAAACTGTGCTGCATTGTGCTTCTCTGAAACCTGGCTGTGTCAAGCCATTCCGGACAATGCGTTTAATCTGCCAGGCTTCCAGCTGTTCCATCGCGGAAACAGGGAAAACGAGAGGTGGTGGATTGTGTTTCTTCATTAACGGAAGTTGGTTTTCAGATGTAACAATGCTTAAAAAGATATGCTGTTCTAATTTAGAGGCACTCTTCATAAACTGTAAACCTGGGAGTTGTCCTCTATTAGTACACAAATGTATACGTTCCTCCAGACGCGTGAGTGAGCGCAGCGCTGCAACAGCTTGCTGAACAAATAACTGAAATGGAGCAAAGGTACCCAGACTCTCTTTTAATCATTTTTGGAGATTTTAACAAAGCAAATCTTTCCCGTTAACTGCCAAATGTCCCACTAGAGACTAATATATTGGATCACTGTTACACCACAATAAAGGATGCATCCACGGGCAGCTTTGGGGTTCTCTGATCACTGTCTATTTAATCTCATACCAACCTACAGGCAGAAACTGAAATCAGCTAAACCTGTATTAAGGACTGTTAAAAGATGGACTAATAAAGCAGAGCGGGATTTACAAGCCTGCATCGACTGGAGTGTTTTTGAAGATGCAGCCACTGATCCGGACAAGCTCACAGATACTGAAACTTCATATATCAGTTTCTGTGAGGATATGTGCATTCCTACCAGGACATTCCTATCATTCGATAATGATAAACCATGGTTTACTGGGAAACTCAAACAGCTTCGTCATGCCAAAGAAGATGCTTACAGAAGTGGGGATAAAATCTTGTATAACCAGGCCAGAAACAGACTAACAAAGGAGATCAAACTACTCCGAAAACCTGAAAAACCTGTTCAGCCAATGACTCTGTGTCAGTATGGACTGGTCTGTGAAACGTTAAGGTCTGCGTATAGGACGTGAACTGGATCTTCAGAAAATAGAAGACTAAGAAGGCTTCAGGCCCAGATGGTGTTTCACCTGCCTGTTTAAAGGTCTGCGCTGACCAACTGGCCTCAATCTTTACACAGATCTTCAACAGATCACTGGAGCTGTGTGTAGTCCCCTTCTGCTTCAAACGCTCCACTATTCCGGTCCATAAAAAAAAACCAAATCACTGGACTTAACGACTACAGCCCTGTCGCTCTCATGTCTGAAGTCATTTGAGAGACTGCTGTTGACCTATCTAAAAGATTGGACCCTTTCTGGATCCTCTTCAGTTTGCGTACAGAGCAAACATGCAGTGAACATGGGACAGCATTATATTCTGCCACATCTTGATAGACCTGGGACTTATGCAAGGATCTAGTTTGTAGACTTCAGCTCTGCCTTCAATACCATCATGCCTGACCTTCTCTCAGACAAACTGACCCAGCTCTCCGTACCCACCCCAATGTGTCAGCGGATCACCAGCTTCCTAACAGACAGGCAGCAGCTAGTGAGGCTGGGGAAACTCATATCCAGGACTCTCACGATCAGCACTGGCGCCCCTCAGGGATGTGTGCTCTCCCCACTGCTCTTCTCCCTGAATACAAACGAATGCACTGCAAAATATCCCTCTGTCAAGCTCCTGAAATTTGCAGATGACCCTACCATCATCAACCTCATCCACAATGGAGATTAATGTGCTTACAGACAGGAGGTTAAAGAGTTGGCTGTCTGGTGCAGTCTTAACAACCTGGAGCTGGACACACTCAAAACAGTGGAGATGATAGTGGACTTTAGGAGAAACCCCCCTGCACACACCCACTCACCATCATGAACCGCAACTGTGGCAACAGTAGAGTCATTCAGGTTCCTGGGCACCACCGTCTCCCAGGACCTGAAGTGGGACACCATTGCTAAAAAGGCCCAGCAGAGGTTGTACTTCCTTCGCCAAACTGAGGAAATTCAACCTGCCACAGGAGCTGCTGAAACGGTTCTACTCAGCCGTCATTGAGTTTGTCCTGTGTTAATCCATAACTGTCTGGTGTGGTTCAGCTACCAAATCAGACATCAAGAAACTACAACGGACAGTCAGGACTGCTGAGAAGATCATTTATTCCCTCCTGGCCAACCTCCAAGATTTTACACCTCCAGAATGTGGAAAAGGGCTAAGAAAATCACATTGGACCCCACACACCCAGCCCACTCTGTCTTTCAGCTGTTGCCCTCTGGTCGGCACTATAGAGCACCGACCACCTGAACTGCCAGGCACAAGAACAGTCTTTTTTCTGCAAGCTATATTCAGCCTAAACAATTAAAACTTTCATAACTATACATTGTCCATTATAACTGACACATTTATATATAGCATCTGAAAATTGTACATTTGTAAACTACATAAACTGTACACTTGTAAATAACATGTCTGTACATTCATTAAAACAATTGTTTTTTTCTCTAGATTTCTACTTCTGTATTATATTGCATTTAAATTTCAGTTTTTCTTATATTAGTGTTATATTTGATCTCTACTGTATAATTTACTATGTATGTCTGCACTATCATGTACGTTTGCACTGTGTCTGTATTTTCTTCTGCACTGGAAGCTCCTGTCACCAAGACATATTCATTGTGCATGTAAACATGACAAAAAACTCTTTCTGAATTCTGAAGTAAGGATATTTAATCTATGACAGTTTCCTGTTAAAATAATTATGCATTACTTCATTTCAGATTGCATATGCTGCAGTGGACTGCACAAAGGGACAAAACCATGAGTTGTGTAAACAGGAGGGAGTTGAGGGCTACCCAACATTCAACTATTACAACTATGGGAAATTCAGCGAGAAATACAACGGGGAAAGAGGGGTAAGTGTTCTTTCATGTGAGAGATTTGTATTTAGATACACATAAAAATTTATGAATGTTACTGCATATGACAGAACATAAAAGTTCAATCTAAGTTGTATAATTTTAGATAAAAGAAAGCACAAGCACACTTTTCAAGCAAAATATTTTATAGGTTTGAAATTATACTGTAAGGATTGGATCATGATTGAGATGATTCTGTTTAAACTGCAGACTTCTGCAGGCTCCATCTAAATTATAGGTGTGTGTGTGTGTGTGTGTGTGTGTATTCTAACCTTTTAATTATTTTGTTAACCATTTTTATTTTATTTTATGGAAGCCCTAGAGAAGTGGTTCTCAACCAGGGGTCCAGGGCCCACTAGGGGGCTTCAGCAAACTTCCAAGGGGCTGCAGGGTAGCTTAAAAGTATTTAAACTAATACATTTTTATTAATATATAAAAAATATTAAAATCATCTCACTCTAATCTGAATTAAAATTCTATGAAATTACTACAGAAAAAAACTAAAATCTTAGCCTTTATTTGGGGGCCTTCAGATATTGTTTTGGACAGTGGGGGGTCTTCGAGCTAAAAAGATTGAGAACAACTGACTTACAGCATCTTGTTGTATCATATCCTGAATCCGAAGTAATTTCACTTGCATATCTAATGTGACTGCACCTTTATTGGAACATGCCCATATTTAATGTGATGAACTACAGTACACCTAGGACAAGTATAAAAAAACAGCAGAGACAGAAAAGGTCTTGCATAATTTATTTGCAAATGCCACCTGCTTTATTTTGTCATGGTTAATCTAATACAATGACATTCATACATTTGGCATGTATTTCATGCATTTATATGCAAGTGTCCCAATGCTTTTTGGGGCCACCGTCGTGAATGTTTTTTTAATATTATGAGGTAAACAGTTTTTCATTTCTCACTGTGTACACTGTCTACCCCCTACAGGAAGCTGGCTTCACTGGTTTCATGAGAAGTCTCAGGGGCCGAGACCAAGAGAAAGTGGGCAAGCGGAAAGAGGAGCTCTAATAGTGTGGGTGTGGTTCCTATAAATGGGAGGAGTCTATCATTGCACTGTGACTTGGGCAGGGACATCCCAGCACTGATGCCACAGACTTGAAACCTCAGCTAAAAAGGCTATTTTTTTATACAGCTATGCCCTTATGTTTGTAATACCAATGTACAACCATCAGACCACTTCAGACTATTTTGCTTTTTGTTTGTCATTTTGACATTTTTTTTCCAAATACTGTGACCTCAGTTACTGAAATCAACACCTAAAATCTATGCAACACTGGACCTTCACTCTCAAGGGTCCCATACGTTTGATGGGTGGTTGGTGTTTAATGGGGAAAACCAATTATCACCAGGATACATTGCCGTGACTCCCATTCCAGTGAGGAGTAATAATGTGTACAATCGATTCTGCAAATATTTTTGTAAAAAGGAAAAAAATGCTGTATGACATAATTGTTTTGGGAGTAAAAAAAGATGGAGAAAGTTGTTGTAGCTGTACTTTGTGGCCTTAAATGTTTGAATAACTGTCATCCAAATATTTTACTATTTTCAAGAAATACAGAACTACGGCCAAAATACAAGAGCAAATTCAAGAACTTGTATTCAAGCAAGTAGTTTTTTTCCTTATGTTTTATTGTCAGTTGTGACGGAATAAAATGACGTAACAAAACTGGAAATGCCAAAAAAGAAAAGGGAAAAATTTTTAGGTTGAAACATTGTTTCCGAATTAATTCTGAAAGTTTAATCCATGAAAATTCCTGCGCCCTTTACATTCCATTGTAAATGAATGTTTCTGCTTATTTTAAAAGTCTAGTCTGGTTATGTGGTTTCTGATTCACATTGCTATTCTAGATTCATAATTGACATTTCAAAATGACATTTCCTCTTCTAAGCATGGGAATGGTACAGTAGGTGATGATGGGAAACACAGATAATGTTTTCATTTATGCGGGAGCAAGATGGTTTGCTTTAAGGCATGTTGAGTGATGCTCATTTAACATGTCTCACTGGTTTAAACTCTCTGCCAAATGTTGGCTCACTTATCTTGTTACCACAACCCTTACCAGTATCTCTGTGGCGACTACACTATTATGTATGTGGAAAACTCCCTGCTCTAGGCAGTATACATATTTAATGGTCTTGTAGCTGAACTTTTGTTGTATAATTCAGAGCACACATGCTTAATAGATATAAGCTTTTATCATACTATATGAAAATGGCCAATTTGTCAGGTTAATGAAGCCAAGAGTGACCACATCTGACCACAAGCCTGTTATTTTGGAGTTGTTCCTTTTTGTTTGTCTTTTTGTAGAGACGATCATGGTAAATATGGGAAGATATGTCGCTACTTTTGAAATGAAGGAGAAAATTAGTCTTCCCCTGCTGTCATTTAGCACCTATGCTGTCATGGTGGTTACAACAGAGTACAACAAATAAATTGCCTGATGAAACTGAGAAAACGAGCACTGCTGTGCTGTTCCTGAGTAATTTCTTATCAAACTTTTCTGTCAGGTGTTTTTGTTTACGGAAGTCTTCCTGGACTAATTCTGTCATGATCTCAAACGAGCCGAGCCCTTTGCCATCAAACTGCACAAGAACCCTTGTAAGAGGCATGCGCTGTTTGCCAGATTAGAAACTCAAGGGATGAGTCACTGTTGGAAGTTTAAATGGCTGCCCATGGAGAAACACCTGCTGGTGAAATGCAAGTTGTCAAGTGCAATATGTGACTGTTTAATGGTTTGGAGAGAAGGATGGCTCCATCAAAATTACATGGAGGAAGCTTACTGAGGGAGCAGGCAACTACTTTTGCCTGGATGCACCCCTACATGTCAGAACCAGGGGTGAAAGGAGGACAAGAAAATGCCAACATGAATGGAAGTTAAGAAATAGAAGATAAATACACATTATGCTGTGTAAAGCATACAGAGTACATATACTTTCTCTGTATAATTTGGTGATGCCAAAAGTTAATAAAGTGTATCCAATCTCACTGACCTTAAACATCCAGCATCTCACTGACCTTAAACATCCAGACATGGCCCATCAAACACCTTTCACCAGGAAATAGTTTGCCAGTCCATACTGAATGCATAATAATTTCTATCTGTCAAATATAAGCACACAGCAACAAAGCTGGTATTCAGGAAGAGAAGAACCAGTTCAAAATCCACCTGAAAAACGGAATAAGCTGATAATAAAAATACAATGCATTGATTACGCAATTTTAATCATTAAATTAGAATTATACTACATTTAATATATTATGATAACTACACATGTTACTGAGGCTGTATTGGATTAACAGTGGCAGAGCACGCCAGATTCAAGAAACAAATGAATGTGTGGAACCAAGCAATTATTATTCAGAATTGCTTGGTTCCATTCGAGCAAAGTAAGTTAACTGTTGTTGTTTGTTTTCTTCCCAATACAGATGAACTTACATTTTACTTACAATAATAGTGTGACTACTTTGTTAATGTTTGCTCCGCCAACGAAAATCCAAACGAAGATCCAGCGAATCGACCGCTCACGTACGTCTCCTGCGTATTTCCTGATATTTGCTTCCTAAAAGAATCGTGTTTGAAAGAATCGGTTGAGTGAATGATTCAAAGCTCACTCATAAATAACATCATGAATAATTAAACGAATAGATTCAATGAATGGCTGTGTTCGAAATACCATACTATCATACTACTCTTACTATTTCTGCAGTATCCAGTATGTATGCTGTGCGTAGTATGCACTGCTGTGTATCTAAAAACAGTATCTTTAGTAGGACATAAATTGTACTTTAATCTCTACAGCATGTTTCCGATCGTCAAATGACGTCACCTTTATCTTTATAACGCTTTATACAGTACAGATTCTTTCAAAGATATTAAATTATAATTATATTGCAGCAATATAATATATAAATTAAAATATTTCAATTATGCAAACAGAATTCAATTCCACTGTCAAGCAGCTCTAAAAAGAAATGGAGTGTATTACTCTAAGGACAAATAGACCAGTTTGTTGGCAGAGGCTATTTACATTAACTCCGCCCACCAATGCCTGGCTGTGATTAACAGCACTGCAAAATACACTTGCATTTTTCCGAAGTATCAATGGCGCAGCTAGTAAAATGTGAGCTGTTTGCTTTTGACGCAGTCGACCCGAGTTCAAGCCTGGCTTTTGTCAAACTCATGCTTCTCCTTTTCCCATCACATACCAGATCAGAAAGAAATTTATTTTCAATAAAAATTAAGTCAATATCTGAAAAATGGAAATAAAATTCCTCAATAATACAGTGTTGTGTATGCTTTAGGTAGGTTTTTGTCCCAATAAAGTGGCATTCATCTAATACAATTTATATATACAGTATATGATCATTTACACTCAATATGTTATTGTATACTGTTTTATAATGTACTACAGTATTGAGGTATAAAAAGTCAATGGCATAAATACACCCCCATTATCTTTACTGGAGCAATAAAGATTCATCCTCGCTCTGACAGCAATAATCAAAATGATGTGCACCACTTGCCAAGAAATCCATACAAACTCATTCTCCCCTTGTTTCACAGATGTGGCAGTAAAAGTAAACAAATAAATAAATAAATTAAAATAAAAAGCATAGGCTATATTTTCTCAGCAGCAACAGCAGCAGAATAAGAAAATGACATTTTTGCACTTTAATTGGGTTTTTATGAAAAAAAGACACATAAGGCTGTGAGTTTAGCATTGCTCGAAATCCATAATAATTCTGCTGTTGTTTTTAATTATCCATAAAATTGATATTACTACCGCATCAGGTTAATCTTCCATATGTTGCTGCAGTATTTTCAGCCTACTCTACCACACCACATCCTGTCATTATGAATGACAACATCTTCACTTGTCACCCTGACACTCCTGCACTAAATACAGCTTTAGACTGCCAGCTATTCATCACGCTGTCCATGTAGAGAGAATCAATCTTCAATGCATGGCTCACACTGCATGCTGTGAAGTGGATGTTTCCAGGAGGTCACTTTAAGCTGAAGAGCTCTCGGTTTCATCCTTGAATGATGAATGTCGAATTTGAACGATTCACATCAAAAAAGATCATGGGTTTGTCAGAAAACACTACAAAAAAGGCTGCTTTTGAGCTTAATGAGCTTTTTTTTAAAAAGGATGTTTAAACTCAAAGCAGAGGCTGAAAAACTGAGATGTGCATATGATGTGGCAGTCACATAACATGAAATATTACAGGATAAGATGCCCGCATGACCATGATCAATTCAAAATTGTTTTTTTTGATGGTGTGTCTGAGTCATCTAAACATCAACATTTGTGATGTGATTTATTCCATCTGACTGTATTCATCTGTTTTTTGTCACTGAATGAAATTGATTAGCTTACGTATTTATATTACATTTTTATTATTATTATGTTTTATTTTAAAATGGAAACGTAAAGTTAAACACTTCGAGTAAGATGACTCCCTCACAAATAGTAACTAAATATGAATTTACAGTCATCATCATAACTGCATAATGAGAAAAAAGAGCAAGTCTCCCCCCACCCATCCTCACCACATTCTATAGGGGCACCATTGAGAGCATGCTGATCAGCTGCATCACTGTCTGGTATGGGAATTGTAGTGCAGCAGACCGCAAGACCCTCCAGCGGACAGTGAACACAGCTGCAAAGATCATCGGTGCCCCTCTCCCCTCCATCCTGGACATTTTCCTTACACGATGCTCCAGCAAAGCCAGCAGTATCGTGAAGGACCCCACCCATCCCTTCCAGCTCTTCCAGCTCCTACCATCAGGAAGACGGTACCGGAGCATCAGAGCCCGCTCCAGACTGCTCAACAGCTTTTTCCCCCAGGCTGTGAGAGCCCTGAACTCAAATCACCCCGCCCTATGAAGGACCCCACCCATCCCTTCCAGCTCTTCCAGCTCCTACCATCAGGAAGAAGGTACCGGAGCATCAGAGCCCGCTCCGCCAGACTGCTCAACAGCTTTTTCCCCCAGGCTGTGAGAGCCCTGAACTCAAATCACCCCGCCCTCCTCTGAAACCCCCATACACACATATATATCACATCTTAATTTAGCACGTTTTGTAATTAATATAATGTAGGCTGTGTATTTTAAGAAGTATTATTTTATAAGATCTTAGTGTCACATCCAGTTTCCCAAGACAAATAAATGATTTACAGTCTGACTGGTTTGCTGAAGTTCACAAGTGACCCATAATGCTATTGCATCCAGCTACGTCACACAGACTCACACGCACAGCCGAATTTTGCCGAACAAAGCCGAAGCTAAGCCGAACTACGACGAAGATGAGACGAAATTGGCCGAACCTGAATCAAACGTGAGAGCGGCAGCATCTGCTATGAAATCTGCAGGAAGAGCTCAGCGATCACGATAGTATATTAGCAACATATCTCAAAAAGGATTATAATGTCTTAATATATTTTAAAACGGCTTGTGTCTGTAGGTATGTACAGCTAACAGTGACAATGCATGCAGTAAGAGTCGTTTAATTTCATGTTGCTAACAGTCTTGCTATGGTAGCAGTGCCATCTACTCCACATCACTGCGTATAACGTTAATTGCAAAGTGTATTTTTAATGATTTGCTTTCAGTTAAAGTCTTATAAGCCTGTATAATTAGATGTGTGCTTTTGTAACTAGTGCATAGGACTGTCGGCAGATGTGATCTGATGACAAGCTATCAGCAAGCATGCTAATGTTGTTATTAGCCTAGCACAGTGTGCCGCAGATTTCATGAGTCTGCACAGAGTTGAAAATAATAGAATTTATATGAGACTCTAGACTTTATATATCGTGCTTATTTCCTGTTATTTTAGTTTCTACTTATATTCTACTTTGTCAGCAGAAAACAGATAGTGGGGGGGATGGAGTATTATATGCACTGAATGATGGTTTTCTTTTTCTTTTTTATATATCTATTTAAGTGTATATTTAATTTAAAAAAATATGAGATTTTCTCTCATTCTTCCAGGTGTCTGTAAGATGTCTGTGGTGCTGTTTGCCTCTGTGGTGAGAGTGAGGGACGGTCTACCACTCTCGGCCTCCACAGACTATGAACAGGATAAAGGATTTCAGGAGACTAAGAAACATCTCAAGGGTCTGTCCAAAAAACTCAGCCAGTTTCCTGATCGCTGCTTACTCAGATCTGGCCTTTACAACATTAAGTGAGTTATTAATGCAATGGTGTTAAACCAACTGTGGTGTTTGCAGTGTATTACACTGGAAATGCATTTGTACTTAAAGGGATTTTTGTCATTTTTTAATATGACATTGTGTCTACTGTCTGTAAGTTCCTTGCAATGTAGAATTTTTATTTGAAACATGTCATTACTGAGCTAATACAATCCTACACATTTAGAACCATGTTTTTTTTGCAGCTCGCCTTTACTAACTCTCTAAATCTCTATGCACACCTACTGCCTAAAATTTCTGCCAAAATCTCAGTGCTACGCAAGCTTCCGGTATAGTTATCTACCATAGCAAACTGTGGCAAAAGCAAACACTTTGTTATATTTCTAATGACTGTCGATCAGAACTAATTCTTATTATATTCAGGGCACATGGGGAAGCAATCATGCACGGATCGTCCATTTCAATTCAATTTGGTGTGAAAGCAATTTGATAAATTTGCGGCCAAAGAAAATGTTCACTCAAAAATGTACATTCTGTCATCATTTACTCACCTTCATGTTGTCGTTTTCCATGCAGTGCAATCATACAGTATAGTGACTGTGGGCTGTCAAGCTCCAAAAATAATTTAAAAACACAGTAAACAGTATACATCTATTTTGGAGTTTGACAGATTGTATGGTAGCTGTAACATTCTTCAGAATATCTCATTTTGTGTTCTGTGAAAGGGAAAAAAAGTCAGACAGAATTGGAACGACTGAATATAATGACTAAATAATGACAGATTTTAAATTTTTGGGTGACCGTCCCTTTAATTAAAGCAACCCAGCAAAAACAAATGACACAGTGGCGTGGACTGCTCTGACTGTCAACTGTTTTAAAGTTCCCCTTCAGCAAGGTCTAATTCAGACGCGTTACACTGAGGGACCCTGGGGTGACCATTTCATAGTCTGGCTGCTGTTCATTACTTCAAATTTCATAAGCAAGCTCTGGAGTGATTCAATGGATCGTTTCATCTCTCCAAAGAGACGATAACACGGACAAAGTTTCTTTCCTGAGGCGAGTCACTAAACTGTCCTCAAAGGGAAAACAGAGTGTTCAAAGATAACTCTGTGAACATACAGATTCAGAACAGGTGTAAAGGCTGATTTTTAAGCAGTACGGTTGTTTGGATTTTCAGGTCTTTAAAGTGGACTTCAATTGTCCATTCAATAACCTTTCCCACCCTAGCTGTGGCAGATGTCCTGTAAATTTTATTTAAATAAAATTGAGGATGATGTAAACTATTACATGTCTTGCTTTTCATAGTTTCACAAGCTCTCTTGGAGTCGGGTACTTGATGGTTTGCACAGAAAACTATCCCAATGTCCTGGCCTTCAGCTTCCTGGACGAGCTTCAGAGAGAGTTCATTGTCACGTATGACACCAAGCGGATCAACGGCGCTTTGAGGCCCTTCTCTTTCATTGAGTTTGGTGAGTTTCTAGAGGGCGTTGGGATGGGTTTCTGACAGAAATCTCTTTGTGCCGAAGGAGACTATATTTAAATATATTTTAATATCATTTAATTTATTTAATTTTTTTTTATTTACACCACTGTTCAAAAGTTTGGGGTCAGTAAGATGTTTTTGAAAGAAGAGTCTTATGCGCACCAAAGCTGCATTTTAATTAATCAAAAATACAGTAAAAACAGTAATATTGTAAAATATGATTACAATTTAAAATAACTTTTTCTGTGAAAGTTTTCTGTGCTTATATGTTTTCAAATGTAATTTATTCCTCAAAGTGGAAAAAGCTGAATTTCCAGCATCATTACTCCAGTCTTCAGTGTCACATGATCCTTCAGAAATCATTCTAATGTGATGATGTGGTGCTCAAAACACATTTCTTATTATCAATGTTGATAACAGTTGTGCTGCTTAATAATTTTGTAGAAACTGTGATACTTTTTTTCAGGATTTAGGATTTTCAGGACTGATGAATAGAAAGTTCATAAGAACAGCTTTTAATGAAAAAACAAATCTTCTGCAACATTAGAAATGTCTTTACTATCACTTTTGATACATTTAATTCATCCTGGCTGAATAAAATATTAATTTCTTTAAAAAACAAACAAAAATGGTAATACTTTAGATTAGGGAACATTTCTTCACAATTAACTAAGAGTTGTTCCTTAATAAACTCCTACTAATTTGCTTCTTATTAATAGTTAGTAAGGTAGTTGTTAAGTTTAGGTATGGGGTAGGATTTAAGGGCTCTAAAATATGGTCGTGCAGAGTAAGGTATTAATATGTGCTTTATATGTTCTAATAAACAGTCAGTATGCAGTAAATATCATTTATTACTCAAAATGTCAACTCAAACATGATCTTCACCTACATGATACCTTATGAACAACCAACAAGCCAGTAATGATACTGATTTAAGTTTCATGAACCTTAAGTACACAAAACGTGCTTCATTTCAAGACGGACATCACTGAAAGTAGTAAGAACTTGCAGTTCAGTGAGTGACTGAGTCAGATGTTGATTCATTAATCATTCTGGACTGCATTTGCCAAAAGCGTAGTAAGCCTAGGTAGATTGTAGAAACCCTTGGCAGCAATTGTCTCTACGATCTGCTTAGACTAATGGATGGCTGATGGATTTGTCATGCTTATTCAAACCGATAACTTCTGAGTTTGCGATTATTATTATTCAGAATTAAAAGAATCTGCCAATAAGAATCCGGACAACTCAGTAGAAATACCTTTTTATCTTATTATCGCATTCAATTCAGACTTTTATATTCTGAACTGAAAAATATTTGAAATAATTAGTTCTGCCTAAATTAGTTCTACATGGGCAGTTTTGCCAACCTTGAGCATTAGTTGAGTCTCTGAAGAGCATTAATTGAATGGTGAGTAAATTGAGTAAACATTAACGGAGTTGCATCTAATGTGGAACATTTAAATGCAGTCACTTATGAGGCTCCATTTTGGCTAGGAATCTTTGGGATTTATCTAAATAAAAATAATGTGATTTGTAACATATAGACCATGTTGTGCCTGAAGCATTAATTTACTGTGCCGTTTCTATGGTTTTGACAGATAACTTCATTCGGAAAACCAAGCAACGTTACAACAGCCCACGTTCCCTCTCGACCAAGATTAATCTGGCCGACATGCAGACTGAGATCAAGCTCCGGCCTCCTTATCAGCTGTCCGCGGAGGACATTGGATCAATCAACGGCTTCTCACAACACAAGCAGTCTAAATATAAAGGCATAGGTAGGGAACATGCTGTGAACACAATATGTATACTTTTGTTCTCACAAAGCAGAGCATTTTGAAAGACCACGAGCACATATGTACTCAGAACAGCCTAGCATAATGGTAGACGTTTTGCACGGCGGGTTTCCTTCCGCAAATCTTAAAATCGAGTTATTTTGCTACTGTTTGACACAGAATCTGTGCTTGATTTATTCCTGCAGCCCCTAATCAAATGATGGAGGCCGTCACCCTGTCGGGTATCGTTGCCTGCGTCCTAAGTGTCCTGTGCGGCTCTCTTAATTTGCTGCGGGGAGTCCACGCAATAGAAAGCGTATTGCAGGTAACTTAAATCATGCACTAATAGTAATGCTGGCACTTTATTTTGGGCTTTGTTTCTTTTATTGATTAAAATGTTGGACTAAACATTACTTTTAAATGTGTAAGTGCCATTGTAATATAATAAATCATAACTAATGGATAGTAACAGTTCTCTTGAATAATTTGTCAGACTTAGTTTGCACTTGGGTGTAATGTGACTTTCCTCTTCCATAAACAGAAGAGTTTTGCTTCGCTTTGTACATTGCCCTGATAAGTGAGCACTCGAGTCTTGGCTCTAAGTAATTCATCCTCTGTTTTAGCACATGGCTTCCTGTTGTAATTTGCTCACTCTTTTAACACAGCACCCTGTCTTTCCTCTTTTTCTGCTCCATCTGCAGAACGAGGATGAAGACTTTAATTACGTAATTGCTTTTTTCCTCGGAACCGCGGCCTGTTTGTATCAGGTAAGTGACAGCAGTCAGACCGTGAGTTACTGTCGGCCTGCCAGGCTTCATTTCCTCTGCCCTCTGTCTCTGTCTGACCAACCAATGCTAATATATCACACTTTTCCTCACTGTCATGTCAAAGCACAATCTGGAAAATTGGAGAAACATTGCGTTGTTTTGCAAACAAAAGCAGCTAGTATTGTAGATACTTAATACTTAAACATCCTCATAACAAAATACATTTACAAAAATTGATATTAATATATTAACTTGTTTTCAGAAAAGACACTACTGTTCAAAAGTTTGGGGCCAGTCATTTATTTTTTTTTTTTAAGAAATGGATACTTTTTTTCAGTAAGGATGCATAAAATTGATCAAAAGTATGATATGAAAGTATTATGTTTTGAAAGACTTCTATTTCAAATAAGTGTTGTTTTTTCAAACATTCTAAGAATCATGAAAAAATATCACCGTTTTCAAAAAGTATTAATCAGTACAAATGATTAATACTTTTCAACATTGATGATAGTAAGAAGTGCTTCTTGAGAAGCAGATCAGCATATTAGAATGATTTCTGAAGGATCACGTGACACTGAAGACTTCTAAAAATTCAGCTTAGTCATCACAGGAGTGAATTACATTTTAAAATATATTCAAATAATGCTTTTTTTTTTTAAATTGTAATAATATTTCAAAATATGGTTAATGTATTTTTCACCAAATAAATGCAGACTTTGTGAGTGTAAGAGATTTCTTTAAAAAAATAAATAAATCATACCAACCCCAAACTTTTGAATAGTAGGGCATAAACCGTACTGCATTCTATTAGATTTATTCTTAAAACAAAGCTTGTACTGAATTTTCTTCTTCCTGCTTAAAAACCTTTCCTCTTGTTTCTGTTTCTATATGTAGTGTTACTTGTTCGCCCACTTCTCAGTTTGGAGGAACATCAAGTCATTCCTGGCCTTTGCTATGATCTGTCTATGTAACATGTATCTGTATGAACTCCGTAACATGTGGCAGATCCTCTTTCACGTGACGGTGGGAGCATTCATCACTCTGCAGATCCACCTGAGACGACCGCAGGGCAAATCACCTGACTACAATGTTTGACCCTCTTGAACTCTTTCAAGACTGCGTACCGTAGCCCAATATGGCAACCCCAACCTGTTCCCACCCCATCTGGGGACAAAAGAACTATGGATTGTGAAGCAGGTTTTCCAAATGATTTTGATATTGTTTAAGAAACTGCTGTTTCACATCCAGTTGAGGGCACTTTCTTTGTAATTGTGAAATTTGTTTCTACATCATTTTTTTTACAGACACTTTTTACTTCAGTTTCTTTCATGTACGAAAATGTTTGAATGTGTCACTGAAGTCAAGTGTGGGAAGGAGCTTGTTATTCTCAAATCCTAAGAGCTGCAGTTATGATGATGATGATGATTGTGGTTATTAGAGGAAGTTATTTGGCTTATAGAAGCGTGACTAATGAAAGAAATGTTCCAGGTGATGCAGTGAATGCTTTTGTGTATGCAAAAATTACAGCCTATTTAGGCGCATTTGTACTTAGTGAGGGGGAAAAGTCTGTACATTTCTGACGTCTGTGTAATTGATGTTATTTTTTCCAGCTTATGTTCACTCCTGATCTAATTTTATAGTTGCATAGCACACTACTGTGTGTGGAAGCCTTGAATCACAAAGTGGGGACAAAGGAGGTGAAAAAACACATTTGAGTCCATTTCACTTTTTTGCTGTATTTTTCCAGATTTTTCTCCATTAAAAAAAATAGTACAGCCTAGTTAGGGTTGGTATATTTGCAGAAGAAAAAATAGAGAAAAATCAAATAATTTGAAGATCATAGAGGAAAAAGTTATGGGGAAAATGGACAAAAAGTACTTAAAAAAATAAATGAACAAAAATCGCCATGTAATTTTCCTCCTTTGTGGTTCAAGGACTCCAGAACTGCATCATAAGTGTAAGAAATGGTTTGAGTTTTTCTTTCTTTGATTTTTATGACATTGTGCTTCGCCTCAGGTCTTTCTAACCTTTTGACTGCTGGATCAAACCCAAACTGAGACCGTTTTAATGTCAGTGAAATGCCATTCTCACGCCCAGCACAATGGCCTTTCTTTAATGCTTCATAAAACAGCTTTGCTCAGACAAACTGACCGGATCGGACGCATGCAGAGACCAAATTCAAGTACAGCCAAACGAGGGTAGTTCATGGGCACATTCTTAAGATAAAAAAGGTCAGGTTTGCCAGTGGGGAAAGCGTACTAAAATTATGTGAATTATAACATGCCTGAGTGACCAAACAGCCGCTCTGTGGGGTTTCCCGTTCTTTCTTCTATTTCTTGACACATTTTGTTTATGGAAGTCCTAAAAAGAGCTCAGTTTTAAGATTCGATAAAAAGGTTTTAATTAATAACTTGTCCGCACATCGAGAGCTGTACAAGTTTTCATACAGAAACACTGGAGGCAAGTATTACTAGAGTCGCAAAATGAAAGCGCACTGCTGCCACTTTCTGGATATTTAATGCAACATCCCAAATTTATACACACGTGTGTGTGTTTATTTATTTGTATGTTTGTTTGTCAAAACACAGCAATGTAATAAAATGTCATAAAATAGATTTGCATTTCCTGAAGGAAATACCGGTATTTGAAAGGCACTTCACCTTTGGCATAACAACCGTCTAGATGTCCAGCTGTCCACCACACAATCATCTGAAATGTAAATACGGAAAAGGCCAATCACAATACAGTATGCAAACGACCAATGCCGATTCGATATGCAAATATTATTAGAACGACATCAATGTCTGTTACATGGATGGCCGCTCAAAAATGACAATTCTGTCTTACATTAAAGGGGTCACATGATGCGATTTCAAGTTTTCTTTTCTCTTTGGAGTGTTACAAGCTGATTGTGCATAGATAAGATCCCTGAAGTTGCAAAGACTAAAGTCTCAAAACCAAAGAGATATTCTTTATCAAAGTTAAGACTCTGCCACGCCCCCCTAAAACGACTCGTTCTAACACGCCCCCACATATCTACCTCACTATGGGGAATATTTGCATAATGCGGCCCAAATGTTCATGCAAAGAAAGAAGGCGTGGTTTCAGTAACCACAGTTAGTGTTGAAGCAGCCATGTCAGAGAGACACTGTGTGTTTGATCTTTAAAAAAGCATCATATGACCCCTTTAATCTCACCTTCAATTTACACACAAGTCTGGCTATTTTATGGTGCTTTATTTGTCCCTTTTGAGCTCGACAGCCTCAGTCCATTTTAATTGCATGGAACTAACAATTTAATTTCCACAGAGAAAATAAACAGATAATACTGAAAATGACACGAGGGCGACTAAATGACAGAATTGTAATTTTTGAGAGAATGTCTTCAGGTATAATTACCAAAAGCACCTACAAAACCAATTAAATTGCCAAATACTGTGGAGAAGAGCACAACAAGTGCAATTTCAAAACAGTACTGTTTTGTAGCCACTGTAATAATCATAACTACATGATTTCAGAATGAGTTTAACATTATAATAGTTTATTTTTATATATATATATATATATATATATATATATATATATATATATATATATATATATATATATGTCAGTGTGTGTGTGTTTATAGACAGCATTCTAATATATTAATGTATAAAATATATCATCTAAAATAGCTTTGACAGTTTGGCTTTTGGAGTCAAAATATAAAATGTTAAAAATACAAAAACAGCCATATTTGACCGTTCTCCTCTGTCCTTAAAAGTGTCTTCGGTGTATACAAGTGTCTGTAGTTTTGTGAATTTAAATTTGTGTTTGGAACAGTAAGTCACATGCCCTGTTTATGCCGCCAGCAACTTGCATGTCACCATCCGCTGTACTAGTTGGTTGCTTGTTCAATCTCATTTTTTATTTTAAACAAACCAATTTACGCTTCTAAAATAAACATTCTGGAAGGGAACGTGTTGTATACAAGTTGTAACAGTGCATTATGCATCATATTAAAGATGAACGAGAATCAGTGCGTGCTCTTTGTCAATGTGGGCGGCCATTTATTCGTCTCGAAAGCATAAACGCTAGGCTATTTGGGTCCACATACACTTAATTGTCATATGCATCGTTTTTTAAATACTGTCCCCGCACATGGTTAAAGACATAAATTGCTGGCTGCAAGGACAAAATTTAGTCAAAGCAATTCTCGACTACAGTATCTGACTGAAGACAGATTGACATGCTCCATCAGATCAGTCTAAATTGGTTGCATTGTTGGACCTGGGCAAATCCCAAACTTGAAAATGAATGACTTTGGGTCCTTTCAAGTTAATTCTCAACTCTAGATCATTCAGAGGTAACACTGTCTATGCTAGCTCCTTTACCAGTAACAACCACAGTCGCTGCGGCAAAGTTCGGGAAACCATAAAGTGTTTGTAGAGCTGCTGTGCTCACTATGGCCTTCTACCATAAATTAGCTCATTGTGATATCTCTATCTACTGTGATATCACCTAGACAGTGTTGAACCCAACAGGACCATATGAACAGAACTCTTTACATACACTGATGAATCATATACACATAAAACATGTGTTTTACAGGTATATTGGCTTCAGTGTTTTCATGCAGTTTTGTTTTGAAGCAACCGGGACCAGTCGGTGGAGTAAGATCGCAGTCCCGCCACACCTGAGAGAGCCAAAGCCAGGTGCAGAGAATGCAGTTCATCTGTCCTCTCTTGCCAATATAAGACTGGGAGAACTGCTTTGTATGCCTTGAGATTCCTTTGTTTCTTTGGATGAACCATCTTTCTGAGCTGTTCCATGCCTTAAATAAAGGGGGCAAAGCCCTCCATTAAGTGTACAAAGAGGCCACTCTAAGACTGGCTGAGGGCTGTTTCTGAACAAATCCTATTGTGATTGGTCCAGGAGGATGTCCTTCAACAGCCTGGCAGGCACGGCCCACAGCGCCTCCTCTCCATGTCATCTCAAAAATGTTCTGAATATCAGACGTTGAGTGTTAACTGCTGTTAGGTCCTCCATTTAGGAAATAGGTTGTCATTTCTCCTTTGCCCTTGACTTTCACAACGCCTCTGCACTCCAGTGTGTAGTTATAGGAGCTGAGAACCTGGTAGAGGTCTGTTGTGACCTGATACAGAGAGAAATTAAGAGCACATGAGTATTTATTAAGGACCAAAGAGTTTGTAAAGCAGAATCGACAGATTTACTGATCTTAACTTGAGACCACTAGTGAAAATGCTTGTGTTCTGCATTTTTTTTAAAATTAATAATAATAAAACAAATAATTAAATTAAAATGATGAAAAATTATTTACAAATTACCTTTTTTTAATTAATATTGTATATTTATTTCAAATTACATTATGCCGCTCTGCATTGCATTTTCTGAATGAAATCCAATGCTTGTTTCTTACTAATTTTGAGGTGCTGATTCCAAAAATTGTGCCTCTTTTGCTCTAGCACATCACACTTTCTCACAAAATATGTGAAAAAAATAAATAAATAAAATAAATATATATATATATATATATATATATATATATATATATATATATACACACA